CCCCCCCCCCCTCAGGAAAAGGAGCAGTCTTCACACACAATTACTCACAGAGAGAAGGATATTATTGAGACACATGTCGAGCGGTTTGACGGCGCGCCGCCTCATTCTGCAGCAGCTTACTGCAGTCGCGCAGCACAGCCCACTCATGTCACCCCTCGCTGCCGTGTACGCAAATCATGCCACAGCCACCGCTTCTGGGAAAGGCCAGAGCAGCAGCAAGACCACTGATCGCTCATGGTTCAGTTTTCTCATCCGCCCGGAGCACAGCCGCGGCACCTTCACGCTCATGACGGAGGAGGAGGTGACGTACCTGCGGCGCCGTCGTGAGGAGGACGGCGAGGAGGGGCGAGTGGTGCTCTCCACTCGGCCGACGCGCAGCTTGATCAAGGGCACGGCTGGTTGCGCTCTAAACGTGCTGCTTTCGTTTTTACTATCGCCCATCTTGGCTCTCTCCGTTGCGCTCGAGGCGGTGCGGCTTCGCGGGGCACGGCCCGTCACACTCATTGTCGCGCCTGTTGTGGGTCTGACGTGGGGGGCAGTGTTCATCGTCGTTGCCTGGTACGCCGCGCTGCAGCAGCTCGTGCTGCTGCTTCTGTATCAGCTCGAGGCGCCAGCGGTGTACCTGTTCCGAAGCGGCTGCTGCTGGAACGAGCTTGCATGCCGCTACGAGTACCCGTCCGGTGTGGTCGGCAGCGCCCACCCGCTGCTCGCACTGCACGCGTCGGCAGATAAGCTGCGGGAGCGCGCAATGCGGCGAGAGTCGCGGCGGCGGCACAACAGCAGCAGCAGCAGCAGTGCCACGTACAAGGGCAAGGGCGGCGGCCAGTCGGCGCATGACAGCAGCGACTACTACGCCGTGCTGGGCGTCTCACGCGACGCGACGGGGCGGCAGATCAAGGAAGCCTACAACCGCCTCGTGCTGACGGTGCACCCCGACAAGAACCCGAGCAAGTCGGCAGCCGCGCACTTCGACGCAGTCACAAAAGCGTACCGCGTGCTCGGCAACGAAGAGAAGCGGCGCAAGTACGACATTGGCGGCAAGAGCGGTGTGGAGGACATCGGTGAGAAGAAGCGCGACGCGGTGCGTGCGTTATTTGGCGGCGACGCCCTCAACGCGATTGTGGGTGATGTGAAGACTGGCAGCTTCTCACAGCGCGTCGTCGACGGCCTCGACTGGACGCAAGAGGAACTCGCAGTGTGCCGGCAACGGATGCAGGAGCGGTGCCGCGATGAGCTGCTCACGTCCTACCTGGAGCCACTGCAGAACAGCAGCGGAAGCAATGCTGGACTTGCCGAGCTGAAGCCGCGCTTGCAGCGGCTGCTCAACACGGGCCTCGCGAAGGAGGTGCTGTACGCCGTTGGGCAGGAGTACCTCCGCGTTGCGCAGTACAGCGAGGCGGCGGGTCCGCTGCAGCGGCTGCTGCTGCTGCAGGAGGTCGCGCCTCACCGCGTGCGGCGGCGGCTGGAGAAGTGGCGGTGTCTGGCCCGCGTCCGGCAGCACACTTTCACCGACTCCGCGGCGATGGTGGACCTCGCGTGGTACACATCGGTAGAGGAGCTCGAGTGCACGGCACGGTGGGTGGCAACAGCAGTACTTCTCGACCCGAAGCTCACAGCGGAGGAGCGACGCCACCGCCGGGACGCGCTGTGCCTGCTCGCCAAGACGTTTGTTGCGTACGGGCAGCCATATAAGGGCGCGAACAGGCAGACAATGGACAGCTTGATGAACTCGCTGCGGGAGTACCAGCAGGACCAGCAAAAGAGGCGCTCCGAGTAGCTTGTAGCGCATTTGTGTTTTGTGTTTCTCTCTCTCTGTGTGTGTGTGTGTAGGTGAGTATGTGGCAGGGTTGGGAGAGAGAGAGAGAGACAGAGGGTGGCGGGAAGATTAGTCGACTGGTCGTCGTTTTTTTTTTTTTTGGTCTTTCGTTGTTGCGGGGGCCTCCTGGCTTGTGGTGGGGGAAATATGTGCCTGAGCACCGCTGCCGCCGCCGCCGCCGAGGGAGCGCGGTGGTGGTCGGGGGCCTCTGCAGCCGCGCCGCCTTTCCCGTTTCAGTGGCGTGCGTCTTACCGCTCGCGCACTCACTCACTCACTCATTAAGAGAGTCATTTGGTCAATCACTCACATGGACTCGGGCCATCTGCCTCCTGTGTCTTCACCCACACACGCACATGCCGTTCCTTTTGGCATGCATGCTGCTGCCACTGCTTCTGCAGCTGCATCCCCACTGTCGTTGTTGCCCTTGCCCACTCTCACAGTTCTCTTTTTGTTGTTGCTGTTGTTGTTGTTGTTGTTTGTCTCGTATTCCTCTTCCTTTGTGCTGTGTAAGTTGCCCCTTCAGCAGAGTGAGCAATCGCAGCGCCACGCGCACTGCTACCCACACACAAACTCACACACACAGAGAGAGAGACAGTGACAGGCACGTGCCATGGGGGACGCGAAATCGTCGACGACGATCACAACAGAAACGATCAAGCGGATATGCGTGCAGCTCGGCTTCTACCGTCACCCCATCTGCAACGAGAAGCTGTACCTGCACCACAAGGGCTTCGACAGCATCGACACCGACGCTTTTGACCCGTACACCGACGTGAAGGTGCTGTGGCTTGAGAGCAATGCACTCACAGTTATCCCGTGCGGGAGAGATAGCATCCCGATACAAGTGAATACGGAGGAGGAGGAGCAGCAGCAGCAAGCAACGGAGGAGTCGGGGGTGGCGCAGAAGCGGCCTGTCTCTGACGGCTGCTCCAAGAGTGCGCAGATGGACACATGCAAGGCGGCACACGTTGACTGCTGCGCTGACTGGACAACGGCTCCGTATCGCACGACGGCCAATGTAGAAACGCAGAAGGGCGATGACGTCAATAATGATGGTGTGGATCCTACTGTCGCAACTCTTGACACTGTCGATGATGGTGAAAAGGGTGAGGAGACACATGCGGCGGCGGAGACCAAGAAGGACGTGTTCCAGTCGCTCTATCCTACGCTGCGGCAGCTGTACCTTCACAACAATGCACTGCGGGATATGCCAGACCTGAGCGGCTTTCAGCGGCTGGACACCGTCAACCTCGCAAGCAACTGCATTCGAGCTGTGCGGCCGCTTTGCGCCGCGTTCGAGGCGAAGGTGGCCCGGTATGAGGAGGCGATTCAGGAGAAGGCGGAGTCGCTTCTGGCGAACTCCAAAAGCATGCAGACCGAGCTGCGCGCCCGTACCATCGCCATCCAGCAGGAACAGCAGCAGCAACAAGAGGGGCGGCAAGGTGGGGAGGAGGAGGCGGAGAGGGAGGAGGAGGAGGAGGAAGACGGGCGGGGCACCACGCCCAAGGAGGACGACAACAAAAACGGCAACGCCACTTGTAGCAGCGCCGCCGCCGCCGCTGCGCGCGCGGAGGAGTTGGAGATGTGGCGGCAGCGCGTGAGCGCCTACGCCGAGTTCTGCCCGCACGAGCCGCTCGACGTTGCGGAGAACGGCAAACTTTCGGACGACGTGCCGCCGGCGCGCCTCAACCCGTGCAGCTCGCTGCGCAC